TCACTCTTTAGTGACACTACTTGGGCAAAATTAAGGAGGGCATTACATGATGCCATTGGTTGGACCTCCATTGTCATTATCTTGTGTCTCTCTTTGGTGACACTGTTTGCATGACAACTTTTTGAGTCCCTCTGTAGGTGCAACTCTTTGAGTGGGCAAATATATATTCTCATCATTTATGGTCAACCTATTGTTGTCACTCTTTAGTGACACTACTAGGGCACTATCAATGGGCCATTACATGATATCATTGGTTGGACCCCCATTGTCATTATCTCGTGTATTTCTTTGGTGACACTATTTGCATAACAACTTTTTCGAATCCCTTTTTAGGTTCAACTCTTTGAGTGGACAAATATATATTGTCATCATTTATAGTTAACCTATTATTGTCACTCTTTAGTGACACTACTTGGGCATAATCAAGGGGCATTACATGATGCAATTGGTTGTCATTATCCCCCATTGTCATGACATATCTCATTGTCATTATCTAGTGTCTCTCTTTGGTGACACTGTTTGCATGCCAATTTTTTGACTTCCTCTTTTGGTGCAACTCTTTGAGTGGTCAATATATATTGTCACCATTTATGATCAATCTATTGTTGTCACTCTTTAGTGACACTACTTGGACATTATCAAGGGGGCATTACATGATGCCATTAATTGGACCCCTATTGTGAATATCTCGTGTCTCTCTTTGGTGACACTGTTTACATGACAATTTTTTGACTCTCTCGTTAGTTGTAAGTCTTTGAGTGGGCAATATATATTGTCATCATCTAGGTTCAATTTATTGTTGTCATTCTTTACTGACAATACTTGAGAACTATTAAGGGGGCATTATATGACGTCACTGGTTGGTGTATATTTTTCTTTATCTCCTGTAAATCTTTAGTAACACTATTTGTTTGTCTAATATTTGTGTCACTATTTGATGACAATATATACTTTAATATGTGCTATCACTTATTTTGTATGAGTTGTATTGGACTACTTTTAGTTGTATAACTAACTATTAGCTGACACTCTTTTTTGTCATAAATTTTATTGTTTTTGGACATAAATGCTCATGGAATTAATAAAAGAAAAAAAAACTTCGATCAACAAAACTAAATGAACACTGGAAAAACATTAATTTAAAACAGTAATCCAACCACAAAGCCACATTACATGTTTTTTTGTTGTGGTTTCCTAACCGCCCACAACGGCCACATCGAATTCGCCTAATAAGTTCACCACGTGACCTTAGTCTACACTTCTTTGGTCTGCCAGACTGTTTTTTAGATAATGGTAGCAATATCTCAACTTCCTCCACCGATAAATCTGGACGACAAAGAGTCGGAATAGGAAATATAGCTTGAGAATATGCTTTCTTGTATGTGCTCACATGATAATAATAATCCACAAACTCGTTCATATTTTTCCCACTTTTACGTATCGCAACTATCGCATGAGAACAAGGAAAACCATTAATTTGTCACTGAAAACATGTGCACGTTCCATTCTGAATGTCAACAGAAACCGAAGGATATGAGTTGATTTCGTAGACTTCGTTGCTTGAAACCCTCACAGACCAAGATCTCCCTTCAACAAATGCAATATGTAATTTAGATTCCATAGCAGGACACAAATTTCCATTCCATGTGTGAGATGTAGCCAACCTGCACCCCATCTAATTCATTAGTCCACCATGCTTGTGATCGATAAATTTTGTGCCTTAATTATCCAAGAATTAAATGACTCCACTGTATTAGAGGTCATCTCACCGTAACGTTTACCTTTAAAATGAGCATTTGCCTAGTTTTCATAAGGAAGATTTTCCAAGAATCTGTCCATATTGGGTCCACCTTCATGTCTTAAAGTTTCAATCTTCTCATTAAATATTGCAATTGTTGGAGCATATGCGGCCTCACAAAACAAATTTATCAGATACTTTCTCAGGACATTTGAAAATCGAGACCCGCTAAACTTGTCCCTCAAGTTTGCCTTCAAATGCTGCAAACAAAAAGCATGGTGGCACCTCGAAAAAACCTTGGGCATACCTTCCAACAAACTAGCATTCCGGTCAGACATAAATGTAAGCACTTGTTCAGGATCCAAAACCATCGACAATTGTTGTAAGAACCAATGTCAATTAGTCTCATTCTCTGAATCAACCACCGCATAGGCTAAAGGGAATAAACCTGCCAAGTAGAGTAATAACATATAGATTAAAAAAAACTTTAAAAAAAAAAAAAAAAAAAAGCATAAACAGTAACAGTATACAGATTCAATTACCAAAAAAAAAAAAAACAAAGAAAGACAATAAATAGTAACAGTTTAATAATACAAAAACATCATATACAAACTAAATTATACCTTGATTTCCATATTTTCCAATAGCCGAAAGAATATTTCCTTTGTACTTTCCTTTAAGGAAGGTTCCATCAACAAACAAAATAGGCCGACAGTAGTTGAACCCATCAATGCATGCCTTGAATGATACAAATAACCTATAGAATCAGTTAGATAGTTGATCACAATCAAGCACTTTATGGCTACCGACATTTGTATTATTCACCGCATCTATATACCAACGTAATTGATCATAAGACAAAGAATAATCCCCAAAAAGCATTGTTTTTGCTTTTTCCACACCTAACAATGCTTGGTCATATGATATTGTAAGGCCATACGATGAATGAAAAACGCTAACCACCTCAGTTGGACGAGTGTTTGTCTTTTCACGGACATTGTCAACAATTAGATTTGCAATCAAATTGGAAGACATCCTCTTGTTTTGGGTTGTGCGTAGAGCTAATCCACAAGTGTGTTGGTTTTGTAGTTTTCTTTTGTAAAAGAAACTATTCATCCTCTGAAGAGTAGCAATGACATGCCACTCGCATCCTGTAACGTACTTCGACGCACATTCCGCAACTACTATTGTCTTACAATTCTTCGCATAATTGAAATTAAACCCAACCTCAACTGCATATTTGCATAGAACAGTCCAAAAATGGGTAACACCACCTTCAAACTTCTGACCTTCACACTTGATTTCATTTTCCCACCCAGATATTCAAAGAACTTTCTCCGTATGTGAACAAAAATGAGGAAGTAAATTGACCTCAAATTCGACTCCGTCTTCAACAATATTAACATCTTCAAGCAACTCAGTATCAACCACAACAATTGAAGTATCATTAGACACATACACCATCAATTCAATATGATTGACATTAATTAAACATATTAACTCAAACATATTCTTCAAGTCATCATTATTTCGTAGTGAACAATTCGGATGACCTAGAATTGAATATGATATACGCACAGCCAAATTTCTCAACTCATCCCATTCCTCGTAAACTCTATGCAAAATGAAATCAAATCTTGATAGAACTGAACATCTCATAACTAACGTCTCAAGACGATATTTGCATAATAATATGATCATTTTCTCCATGACCTTAAATATGTGTACAAATAGAAAATTAGTAACAGGTTCCCAAAACGAAAGAATGACAACAAACAATAAATCATATACGATAATGCATGTTCCAGATTTCATCAATGACCAAAAAAAAAAATTAAAAAACAAATATTGACACCAAACAATAAATCACATTCGATTCCAGAAAAATCAAAAATCTTCATGAAAAAAGTGAGATAGAAGCTTTAAAAAACTATTTACAATCTTCAAATCATTTTAGCATGAGAGTTTCATTTATCTTTTCGGAATGGAAAAAGATATTAAACATTGAAAAAATTAAATGACCAACAAAAATTAATGTTCCATGTTTATGAAAAATTCCAGCAGAATAAAATAAAAAAATGCTCCACAATTTCCGAAATTTCATGAAGATACTGAATGAAAGAGTGACACCAAACAGTAAATCATATTCGATTCCAGAAAAATCAAAACTCTTCATGAAAAAAGTGATATAAAAGCTTTAAAAAAACTAATTCCAATCTTCAAATCATTTTAGCATGAGAGTTTCATTTATCTTTTTGGAATAGAAAAATATATTAAACATTGAAAATATTAAATGACCAACAAAAATTAATGTTCCATGTTTTTGAAAAATTCCAACAGAATAAAATAAAAAATGCTCCACAATTTTGGAAATTTCATAAAGATGCTGAATGAAAGAGTTACATCAAACAATAAATCATATTCCATTCCATAAAAATTAAAACTCTTCATAAAAAAAGTGAGGTAGAAGCTTAAAAAAACTAGTTCCAATCATCAAATCATTTTAGCATGAGAGTTTCATTTATCTTTTCGGAATGAAAAAATAGATTAAACATTGAAAATATTAATTGACCAACAAAAATTAATGTTTATTTTATTCTGAAAAATTCCAACAAAATAAAATAAAAAAACTATAAAATTTAATGCTCCACAATTTTGAAAATTTCATGAAAATGTTGAATGCCGGAATTTTAAATACTTACAAATTCATGGTGTCCTGTTTGGTAAAGAATATTCTTGAACATGTGAGAGAAATGCTTGAACTGGTGAAAAAGAAATACAATAATATAAATGCTTGAATTGGTGAAGAAGGAATACAAAAATAGCTTCTTGAACCGGGAAGAAGATACAAAAGAAGAATATGACTTGAAATTTTAAAATTCAAATGATACACAACTATCAAAGGAATCTTGAGAGTCTCAATTCTAATATTTAGATATTGGAAATATAAAAATTGTATATTATGTATGACCTATTTTTGGTAGGGGTAAATATGGAATACATTTCAAAAAAAATTTAAAAACATTTTAAAATATGTATTTATTGATAAATAAGTAATGAAATAGAAGACTTAAAAGAGAATAAGTTTGAAGGTAAAACTTAGAGTCAAATAAGTTCTAAAAAAAATACTCTCGTCCCATTATCTGTAAAAGTTTAGTATGGCTCTTTAAGCTCATGGGCCATCCGGCCCAATTGTGCTGCCCCACATTGAAATACCTTCCATACGAATCGAAATACCGTCCATACGACCCTGCCCCTTCAATCTCTCTCTCTCTCTCTCTCCAGTCCAGTTACTGTCAGAACCCCTAATAGCCATGGGAGATTCTCGCCGGATTTCTGTCCATCACGCTCTTGGCGGTGGTTCAGGTCCTCTCACTCTCTATGCCAAATATATATTTAGATTTTCAATATGTATATGTATCTGTCCAGCTCCATATTGATCTATTCTGCTGCTACAAATGGCTTTTTATAACATTGAATCGTTTGCATCTACGTGATATTTGGTTTATTCATTTTCCGAATCTGATAAAACTCTTTTAGTTTTGTTCTGTTTTATTGTTATTTTTGTTTTTTTTTTTTTGTGTGTTTTGGGAACGAGGGCGGTTCGTTGATATAATTCTATAGACGGCTTTGAATTCATTTGAGGTTGTATATTTATGTGTAATTTTGGATGCAGTTGCTGATGTTTTGTTGTGGAAGAAATGGTATGGAAGCAGTGTTGTGCTAGTCTCTGCCACCGCCTTGTGGTTCCTCTTTGAACGAGCCGGATATAACCTTTTGTCATTCATTGCCAATGTTCTACTACTTCTTGTTGTAATCCTTTTCTTCTGGGCTAAATCTGCATCACTTCTCAATAGGTATGTATTAATATTCCTCAGCTAGAGAAAAATTATCTTTGTGTATTTTCTGTAATTGATTGTTCTACAATATCAACAACGTTTGATTATGTCCTTTTACATGTTTGTTTTATTTTCTGTATAGTTGCAGTTAATTCTTTGGATTAGTTGATGGGTTTCTATTTTTGAGGGTTGTTTGGCATGCTTTGTTTGGTAGTGTCTAGATCTGAACAATTATTTATGTGATTTTAGACCTTTGCCTCCTCTCCCTGATCTGGAGATTTCCGAGGAATCTGTTTTGAAGACTGCTGATGTAATGCAAGTGTGGATCAATGATGCATTGTCTGTTGCACGCGATATTGCTATTGGTGGAAATTTGAAAGTTTTTCTTAAGGTGTGATTGCGTGTTATTACACTATTAGTTGGTTGAACTGATCAGATATACATGCTCTCAACTTGCATACTTTTGGTTGAAATGGCGTTGTTGTTTTGATTCTTCAGGTTGCTTTTGGCTCGTGGGTGATTTCTTGCATTGGTAGTTTCTTCAACTTCCTTACTCTGGTCTATATCGGTGAGTCCTTTTGCTTCTTGTTTCATAATAAGAGTCTGCCAATCTTTTCATAAAATTTTTCAGTTATATTATTTGTCTAATTTTGTGACAGGGGTTCTTCTCAGCCTATCAGTACCTCTTTTCTATGACAAGTACCAGGATCCAATTGATGAAAAGCTGATCATACTACAGAAAAATGTTCAAGCACAGTACACAAAAATTGATGATATCATCTTAAGCAAGATATCAAAGCCTCTTAACAAGGAAAAGAAGACTCAGTAGGCCTAGGGTAATCAATCTATCTCTCTCTGCCTCTCTCTCTATCTCTCTATATATATATCTATATTCTGGGCTAAACAATTTTGTAAAATTTGTTCTTCCGCAATAGTTATGCTTATGCCTCTCATAACTGTATCTGAAGTAACTGGAGTGTTATTCTTCATCTTTTTAAAGTTATTGTTCCTTGGTTTCTACAGGGAATTAACTTAGGTAGTGACTTTGGGAAGCATGACTTAAGTTTTTCCCCACTTCTGTTCTGTTTTTTTTATGGTTCCTCTGAGGCTTGGGCTGTGATATTGGGAAGTATGACTAACCACACACCCCCTGTGACTCTACTCTTTAATTATTAATTGAGCCTTCTATGCTATTCTTGTTGGTTCCTCTTGGTGCTGCATATGGCCTTAAGAGTTGTTGGATTAGGTTTTATCCTAAAGATATCATCATGAAGAACTCTTTTATGTTTATGCATTTCATGAAACAACAGTTTCTGGGGATCAGCCTTGTATCCAAACTGCTCGTGTTTTTTCATTTTGGGCAGTTATGTACACCAGATACATCTTCTGGTTGAGGCTTCTTTTGAAAACCTGCAGTTGGCATTGTAGTCTGATTTGATTGATTTAAATGTTCCTGAGCATTCATGTGTTAGGGTAAATTTGCTGCAAGCCTGTTGCTTAACTGGTATTCTTGCTTTCAAGTTTTGATTATGAAGTATATATTTTGTATAACTCAACTGCTGTTTCCAACTTCTTGTTGCGCGGAATTATCCTTCTTAACTATTTGGTTTGGTCCTTCTACCTTAAGTGACTGTTGCAATCAGAATTGATGAATAGTATTTTAGATTTGAGGACCAAAGCTGTGTATTTGCAGCTTGATAGTGTAAGGTCGGTGATTAACTTAAAAAATTCCTTTCCAGCATATTTGTTTTGAACCAAAAAAAAAAGGGCTGGCGAACTTATGTGATTGCAATAAATTGCTTCATGGATGTTCAATTTTTTCAAGGGTCTTGGGAAAGTTTGACTACAATAATCTAGTCATCTAGTAGCAGAGGATTAAGCCAGATTATTGCTTAAGAATGGTTTGTCTTGCAATGAGTGATGAACCACTCAAGTCATTGTTATGGAGAATCTTCATGCTATAATACTTTAGTGTCTGATACACAACCAATTTAATCTAATGGTTTAAAATTATCTAGTAGTGGTGGGCTCTGCCTGTTCACCCAGAAGGTTTGGTTTAGTAGTGTTCCATGAATCACTCAAGTCGTGGTCATTGTGAAGATAATATTATAACTTTATAGTTTTCTTTATTGAAAACTCATTATCTTTGAAGTAGTATGATAGTAAATGCAGCAATGCAGATTGTGAGGCTTTATTTTCTCAATCATAGGTTATGAGTGTGAAGTTCTTGCATTTTTGGTTCATTATTTGTGTTACAATGCCAACTTCTAGTCAGATTTGCTGACTCCATGTTGGATAGCTACATATTATGCTTAAAAGTACTCTGTCCTCTCAGGATGTTCTTTAGAGGTGCATCTCTTTCCATCTGTAGGCATGTGTGTTTGTGTTGTGGTTCTGTACAAGAAAGGTAGTGTTTTTTTGGGTATTAGTTCCTCAGTTGAAACACAAATCATGCTTCTGAATGCTCCTTGGTTTGTTTGGTTCTATTCTAATGTCCTCCATAATTTATTGAAGCACATGGTTACAGACTTCATGGTTAGAGTTTCTAATATATATGCCTTACAACTATTTGCAGATTCTTCTTTCTGGATGCTTACCATGTACATCAACTATCATCAGTATTGGGAACCACCATGATTAACTGCAGATTGCTCTGAGGTTTTGGGATAATGCTATTTTTTCGTTGTTCATTTTATTGACATTATTCTTGATAGATTTCGGTCAGTGCATGCCCTCGTGCCTATGCTTACGGTTTCTTCCACTGCATGAAGAAAAGTACCCTCATGGTGGACTTGGTTTTGGTAATGGAACTCAAAGTTATAAATTTGATGGATGTGACATCTGGTTATTTTGAAGCAGTTCTTTGTGATTTAGTCTTGTGAATATGGAAGATAGCAGCATATTCACCGTTGAAGCCTTAAGTTGTGATTTTGTGGCTTTATAGAGACAACAACTCGACTTCATGGCTTTTGAATTATACGATGCCGTGTGCTTTTGAAAAACTTTGTTTTTTCGGTGATCTGAGCATAAGTCTTCTAAAATCCTCCTTAGCATCAGTATGAATTGTATCCTACAGCCTTACCTCCACATAAAAGTAAAAGTGTGTATATCTAACTCTCTCTTTAGACTCTAATGCAGGGCTTGTGAAAGCTCAACATGGTTTGATATGGGAAGAAGGAAAGGACCAGATCAGCTAGGCAACCGGAAATGCCTGTTCTTCTCTACTCTCTGCAAAAATTTCTCTTTTTACCCCTTGAAAGTGCAATTAATTTCCTTTCTGAAATTCTACAAAAAGCAATGAGCAGTGGAAGCCAATTAAGCACAGAATTGTTTAGGACATGTTTAGCACACGGGCCACAAATAAAAAAGAAGAAACCACGGGCTTGTTTGGTTTATGTTTTAAAAAATAGTATTAGAAAATAGTTTTTGAAAACAGTTTTAAGAAAGTGATTTTGATATTTTTTGAGATAAAAAATTTATTTGATTAGATAATTTCAAAAATAATTTTACAACACAGAAAATAGTAAAATTTATAAAAAATATAAAAAAATTATTTTTATATTGACAGTTTCATAATATATATATAAGCATATTTATATATATACCAATATATAGGAATTAATCATGCTTTTATGCAGTTCGTATCTGCTCCACTGGCAATTAGAGCAACAATTTTAATAGTAAATTCAAAATTTATAATTAAGATAATTTTAACATACCATTTTTGATAAGTTATTTTTTTTAATATATTTAAGTATTCATTTGGTGATGTTTTATTATCAAAGTTAGATGGTGATGCTATATTATCTTGTATGTCACTTTTTCTAGATGACATTTCTATATATATATATATACTCATATCTAAATATCTAAAATTATTCTCATTATTTTCAAAAAAAACTCTGAAAATAATCTATATTTGTTTTCTGTTTCTTTAACTCAAATCTTATTTTTTTCTAAAATTTAAAAAATAAAAATGTTAAACAAACAATTTTGGGTGTTTTTATAATTTTGAAAACAAGAAATTATTTTCTAGTAGCTAACCAAACACGGCCCACATTCTGCAAGTTTACTATGGCTGCTTTAGATTACAATCACTCTCATCAACCTCCTCAACAAGGCCTAAAACTGCCATCATTTTGTGATGTACAGAACTCCTTTGCCCGCGACAAAGAGGAGATAATGTCAATTTCCAACGGGATGTATTGGCTTTTTATATTGAGCACAGGTAAGATATAGTTGTCATCCTGAAGTACAAGATAATCAACAATTCTTTTAACAACTAACACCATTACGATGTGATGTTAACAGTGCAACTAACTTTGAAAAGGAGAAACCATCACTCCTTGTGAGATATATTGCCGCGGGCTTATGAGTGAGATGAAATTTTACTTCCTTTTCTACCGCAAAAAGCATATAAAAAGCCTGAGGCAGTACTCAGTTGGAATCTCAACTTAAGTTGAGGTTCAAGCACACAACTCATGATTCTTGGATTGCACTGGGAACTGGGGGTTGTAGCATCTCGTAATAGGACCACACACAATCTCACACATGGAAGTGTCTAAGAGACAACTATGGCTGTGGCTAGCATGGCATAGTTGTCACCTGAAACTTCCAAAATCCATTCAGCCGACGGGAAGAGCTCATGCGACCCTAGGAGCTGGAATGCTTTCTGAGAGTGGTAATGTGACTGATCGCAACAGCTCCAAGGAGTTGACAAGACCCAGAAAATGAGAGAGGATGGTGCTTGCCGATGCCTGTAAACAGAATACATGGATGAGAAAAGAGGAAAACTAAATGGTAAATCATGCCAAGCTTAGTTGTACAGAATAATCTAGCATCGCAGAAGTGAATTGGGCGCACAGTCATGCCTTTTATCATGCCCTGCATTCTATCTTGCCTTCCATCTTAATTTTTTTTTTTAACCTTCTAACTGGTGCTCAAGACTATTAGCTGCTCTCATGAATTTACAGATACTAAGAACTCCAAGTTTTACTAGAGCAGGAGAAACATCCAAATTCCTCCAAATCATAAACACTCTAGTCCAGAAAAAAACATTTCAGTATGTGGAATACTGTGGCCGGAAAGAAATTAATAAGTCAAAAGTCAAATAGAGATTTATATTTTGGAAGAATGAGAAAAGAATCTTCTTTTCTTCCACTTGGTTACTAGTTGAAGACTTGGAACTGAACAATACTCTGGATTTCCAAGATGGGAATAACTCCAGACTTTATATGAAAAGATGTGCTGATATGTAGATATACAAGTTTGAATTGGATTTAGCAGACCACCTGTACCAAGAATATATACACTGCAAGAACAGGAGAGCTCCCAGGAGCAATACCCTGGTGATAAGGAGCAGCTGAGGTCGTGAGAGCCTTACCCACCAACCGTCCTACAGTAGCTTGCATGCCAAGTATAGCGGCAGCCATTCCCAGAAGGTTCACTATTATACCATTTTTCAAGCTTTTTACAACATCGGCGTGAGGAGCCTGAACAACCCAAGCATTCAGTATAACATGATTCTCAAGTCATTTTAAGTAGTAAAATATAACTGTTAATTATGGAAGATTAACACAATATTAGAGAGAAACAGAAAGAGGTTAAAACTTAACCTAACTCTCATACATTACTTGTATGTATAGTTAACCTACAATAATACGAATTATACATACATCCTCTTACTATTAATAATTTACACATACTACCCTATTATTCTTAACACTCTCTTTCAAGCTGGACTATATATATCATATAATTCAAGTTTGGAACAAATAGCTGTAAGACGTGTACGACTCAATGCTTTGGTAAACATATCTACAAGCTGATCTTCAGATTTCACAAATGGAGTTGTAATCTGCTCAGCTACTATCTTGTCCCGAATAAAATGACAATCAACCTCAATATGCTTGGTTCTCTCATGAAACACATGACTGACAGTGATATGGATAGTTGTCTGGTTGTCACAGAACAATTGTAAAAGAAGTTGAACTGGAAACCCAATTTCTTGGAGGAAGTGTAGTAGCCAAGTCAACTCACTCGTCGTATGTGTCATTGCCCTATACTCAGTCTTAGCACTGGATCTTACTACCACTGGTTGTTTCTTACTTTTTCAGGAGACAACATTACCTCCTAAGAAAGTACAATAATCAGTGGTTGATCTCCGATCAGAAGGAGAGCCAGCCCAATCAGCATCTGAGAAACCTTCCACTCTAAGATGTCCATTAGCTCGATATAGCAGTCCAAGTCCAGGAGCTCGTTTGAGATATCACAGAATACGAGTAACTGCCTCCCAATGTGGTACTCTAGGATATCCCATGAACTGACTTACTATACTGATTGCATATGAAATATCTGGTCAGGTAATAGTGAGATAATTAAGTTTTCCAACTAATCTGCGATACCGACACGGATTCTCAAACAATTCACCATCATCCATTAATAGTTTTTGATTTCCATAGGCACATCAATCGGTCTACTATCTAGCAAACTTGCTTCCTCAAATATGTCAAGTACATATTTCTTCTGAGATAAACAAATACCCTGTTTAGATCGAGCCACCTCAATAACCAAGAAATACCTGAGTTTTTTCAAATCCTTAGTATGAAATCGATCCTGTAAGAATATTTTTAACTTGGCAATCCCCTCAGAATCATTTTCAGTAATCACAATATCATCTACATAGACCACCAATAGAACATACCCAGCATCTGTCTGCCTATAAAACACAGAATGATCTGTCTGATACCGAAGAAGACCAAACTCTAAAACTGCATCTGAAAACTTACCAAACCATGCCCTCAGTGACTGCTTCAAACCATACATAGATTTTTTTAACCGATATACACTCTTACCATACTTTCCCTGAGCAGTAAACCCAGGTGGCTGCTCCATGTAGACCTCTTCAACCAATTATCATGTAAGAAGGTATTCTTGATATCTAATTGAAACAATGACCAATCAAGATTAGCAGCAAGAAAAATCAAGATACGAACAGAGAAAATTTTGGCAACAGGAGAAAAAGTCTCCTCATAATCAACACCATAAGTTTGAGTAAAACCCTTTGCAATAAGTCGGGCTTTGAGACGCTCCACAGAACCATCAGGGTGAAATTTAACAATATACACCGAACGATAGCCAACAGTTTGTTTACCAGAGGGTAAAGGAACGAGATTCCAAGTCTCATTATGATGTAAAGTAGTCATCTCCTCCTCCATAGCTTTCCTCCAACCTGGATCAGATAATGCATCCTGTAAATACTTAAGAATAGATATAGCAGATAATTGAGAAGTAAAACAGGAGAAGCCAGGAGACAAGGCATCATATAAAACAAAATGAGAAATAGGATGATTAGTAACACACGAACGAGTACCTTTGCGAAGAGCAATAGGTAAAGAATCTAAATTACCTGAAGTTCCAGAATCTGAAGGCGGCAAGGAAGACGGTATGGGCACTTCAGTCGATGGGTGAGGACGACGAGAGTAGACACGAAGAGGTAAAGTAGATGGTAATACAGTGGGCAACAAAATATCTGAAGATAAGGAAAGGAATGGTGATACAGGAGAGGATCCAAATTCTAAATCTAGAGGATGAGAAGGTGTTGGAAAGTAGGGAACAGATTCTTCAAATGTGACATCCGTACTAGTAAAGTATCGGTGCAGAGAAGGACTGTAGCAACGATACCCCTTCTGCGTGCGGGAGTAACCAAGAAATACACATTTGGTAGCTTGAGGGTCAAGTTTGTCAAATTCATGACCCAAATTGTGAACATAACAGACATAACCAAAAACCTTAGGAGTCAGAGAAAATAAGGGCTTACCAGGAAAAAGAACAGAATTAGGACTTTGCTCATTTAACACAGAAGAGGGCATACGATTAATAAGATGACAAGCAGTAAGAACAACATCACTCCAATAATATCGGAGGACTATTCATCTGGAATAATAGAACACGGGTGACTTCCAACAAATGACGATTCTTGCGTTCAATAACACCATTTTGTGGAGAGGTGTAAGCACAAGAAGTCTGATAAATAATGCCAGTTTTATTAAGATAAGCTAAAAGAGGATCAGATTCATATTC